AAACCACAAAATTCATCCTGTTTAAGACCATTTATTTATTTATTTTTTTATTAATTAATCCGTGGCACCATAGCCCATTGGGTGGGGGGAGGTTATTGTAGGTTTTTGTGTTGGGTAGGTACTAGGTTTATTGGTACACATGTGTGGTTTTTGGCAGAATTTTGAATTGGACAACCTTAGGTTTCTGCGGGCGATGCCCGTTTCCACCAAAAGTGTACCTTTCCTTTTTCCACCAATACTCGTTTCCACTAAAAGTGTATCTTTCCCTTTTCCACCAATATCCGTTTCCATCAAATAAAATTATTTACCAGGTAATTACAAAAACAATTGTAAACTATTATATTCTAGGATTGAAAAAAAACCAATTTATAATAAAACCAATATATATAAACCAATTATATATATATAAGTAGATACAATATAGGTATTCATAACTAAATACTCTAATATATCATTTTTTCAATCCAGCATTAGCATTTTAAATAAACTTATTACTGTATTAAAGATTTTAATATAAGCGTAGTTTACAAATTATTTTGGTAAATTAACCGTGGTTTAATTATAGGTAGATCTCATTTGGTGGTAACCAGGCCTGATTTAATAAAATTAGGGCAAAGTGCACAATTTTTTTGGAGGCCCCATACCCCCTACCCCCACCACCACAAGCCAAAACTAGTATTTTATTAAAAAATCGATCCATAGACCCCGATAGCTTTTTTTGTTCTTATTTTCCTTATTTAAGTTTTCGTTTAGCCGCCCCGCTTAAATACAGCCGCGAMATATTAGTTATTGCCTATTAAACTTTCAAAACAATTATATTTAAAAATCTAAATAATATTCATGAAAATTTAAAAAAARAAGTTTCGAATATTATAAATTATCACATTAATGCTCACCTATTCAAATACACGTGTAACTCGTGTGAGTGACGAGCGTACAAATTTATAAACCACGGTACTGACAATTATTATACAATTATGAAAATATGAAATTACGGCCAAAGCATAATATTCATAATAATAATATTGCCATAAAATAAATAATATATGGTAAAGCGATCAGTGACGTGCGGGCACAACGCTAACATGTAYGACAACATTGGACAACAATAACTATATTAGTTTATTTATAATTATAACATTTAATTAATGTTTTTCGCTATTCATTTCCTTGGATAACTGAATAACTTAAACTAATGGTTATAAAAATGGTAATTGTGGGAGCGAAATGCGTCACCAACGACGGGTAATAAGTAGATACTGGGCTGGAAGAAATCTATAAATAGTTATTACTTATTATGTATCAAATATTTTCGATGTTCAAACAATTTTCTATTATTATTATTTTAATATGTTGTATTGAGGTGTGGAATGACTTATACTAGTATAAGGTCTATGGGAATTATAATTAATTTAAAAAAAAAATTTTAATACAGACAATTTTTTACAATTCACGGAGATCGCCCCCCC